TCGCGCCAACACCAGAGATTCCTGCAATACTCATTTCATCCTGTCGTTGCCCTCTCAAAGCCTCTAGTTTGTTGATTGAGCCCGGACTCAAACTCAGGTCTGTCTGGCACCAAACCTCCGACTCTTGACCATGTGACAAAGCCGTACATCGTACCATGTGCCCGTGCTGTGGCCATGCAAACCTGCACATCACTTCCAGAACCTCCGTGCCCATCTACACTCCTGTCGCTCTGTCTGGACATGTGCCCACCTGGCTGTCCACCTCTCTACCCCTCACCTTTCCCTATTTCAAATCTTACCCACCCTTCAAGCCCAGATCAGCTACCACCTCCTCCAAGAAGCCTTCCCCACCTCTAACTCCCTCAGCACTTTTTTCATACTTCATTTGTAGGCTTTATCCATTTTATTATCTGAATTATTTTTGGTTTTGTATCTGTGCACAAAATTTTGCATGTAATGGTGGGCTCCATGACCCCCAACCTCCAAAGGGTCCACGGACCCTAATCAAAAGGTGGTCATCCAGAATGCCCTCTCTGCAGCCAAGCTCCAGACCATGTACTGGAGTGGGATGCTTCTCTGGAGGACGCCTCTGCTGGCTTTCTAACCAGCCAAAATTCCAGGAGGGTTTGATCCTTGAAGAGCCATTAGTCCTGGGCAGATTGTCTCCCACTGGGAGCCCTGGTTCTGAGAGCCCAGCTCATCCCCAGGCTGGGTAGGCACGGCAAGCCCTGCAGGCACCCTGCAGAGGGAGGCAGGCTTTTAGGAATGCAAAACAGCCCACAATCTCTCAGACTCCAGACAGCAGGGCAGGGGCCTCTGGAGCAAGATTCCAGCAACTACTGCAAAAGCACCAGGAAGGAGTGGGGAGGAGCCCACAGATGTTGGCATTATCAGCAATTATCCCTACACAGTGATCTGCGGGATATACTGTTAAGTGAAGAAAACGCTGTAGAACAGTGTTTCTAGAATGCTACCATTTTTGTAAGAATGGGGGGAATGTAAATATTATGTATTGCTTATGTTTTTCAGAAAGAAACAGCAGCAGGACAAAACAAATAAGAAGGGTTAGCCTTGCATAGGGGAAGGGAGTAGAGCATAGAGGAATGGAAGTAAGTTTTCTAAACCCTGTTCTATGGTTTTGAAATCATATAAATTCCTTGCATAATTAATAAAACAGAGAAATCAAAAAAAAGAAAAACAACAGACTCTAACCCTCGGATATAAACTGAAACAAATGAACCTAACTCTGTCAAGTTAGAGCATAATCACACCGGAAAGAACTACCTCAGGTGACTGTAAACTTTTGTTGTTGCGTATTCCTTCGTTAGAAAGAAAATAAAGGGTAGATTACAAAAAAAATTTTTAAGCCCAAATAATTTTAACACTATAATCAATAATCTTACTATTAGCAGTAGTTTTTTTTCAAAACTATTATAAGCATGTTGCATAAGACAAAAACGATGACTTTCTCCACAATCAGCAGTCCTCCAGTTTAGTTCCAGCCCACTGGACGGGCTGAAGCCCTGGATCTACTGCCGTGGGCAGGACACCGGCTTCCTCGTCTCTGCACGCCCGGCGCCCGGCTCACAGTGGCCCAAAGGAGCACCTGTCGGGTTGAACTGAAACCCAAGGCACCAGGATTCTACTCAAATTCCCCCAGCTCATAGCCTGTCCCATCGCTGCCGTCCCATCTCTGAAGGCTGTCCTCATTCCTCCTGGCCTCCCCAAGGGCTGTCAGCGCCTGCCCGGTGCTCCGCTTCCTCTGCCCGAGAAGCGTCAGGGTCTATGCTGGGGCCGGTGCCTGCCCCCTCGTTCCCCGCCTTCAGACCCGTTGCCCTACGCTGCGTCGCCGTACCCATGGCCATTTACTTCCTACAGAGGGATTTTTACATCTATTGTTTCACTGAGTCCTCTCCTCAGCCCTGTGTCAAAACTCCATTTTACAAATAAGGCCCCTTGGCAAATGCCTAGGGTGCAAATCCACTATTAGCCCTGTAGACCTTGACCAAGTCATTCATTCATTCATTCATTCACTCAAAAACCATTTATTCACTGTGTAAAGAACTATGTTGGTGCTAGAAACACAGAGGTGCGTAGAGGACACAGACGCCGTCCTCCAGGGAGGACTGAGGCTTCGTATCCCATCTATCAAAATGGAGACAACGTTTGTCTCTACCTTGAAGACCGAAATAGGAATATATATGTATTTATGTATATGCACACATGTATGTGGTTTTAAATTAGTATGTATATTTAGTGTATGTGTATATTTGGAGACATACACTATTATATATAGTACTATATAATACAAGGAGGAGCGTTTGCACCAACAGGCTACACAAGCCCTCAGGATGCCCGTGACACTTCCAGACACAGACCAGAGTGTGCAGAGCCCGTAGAAAAACACTGCCTCTTCCTAGGACCTGTACGTCCGGAGGTGTTTGTCAGGCCCTGGCCCAGGGCTCTGTGCTGCGCTGAGCAGTGAGTGGTTTCTCCCAGAGCGCAGGGCAGGGCAAGAGCCGGCGCCAGGCATCCGTGGGTTCTGGCTGCCCCGGGAGCCCTCCTGGGGGGGATCCCTCTTAGCACGGACACCTGAGCAACTTGAAACTCCCCGGCTTTCAGGACACGCCAACCTGGGTTTGCATTCCAGCCCTGCCATTCACCAGCGGGTGACTCTGGACAAGTTCTTTACCCCAGATGCCTTGAGTGAAAAAAGGTGTAACAATAGTACTGACCTTGTAGTATTGCTGGGAAAATTAAATGAACGAATATGTATAAAACGCTCAAAACAGAACCTGAGACACAGTAAAAACTTAGCAAATAGCCCCTGTACCAAGCTTTCTCTATCACAGCACAAACTTGGGGCTGCTCGCTGGCCTGAAGACACTTCTGTCTTCTAGAACGCCCCCTCTGTCAAGGATGTCACCGGACAGAGACAGTGCAGTCCCCAGCCCCTGCGCGGGTCGTGCGCAGCTCCCTCTCCACGGGGCTCAGCTCCAAGGAGTCCAGCTGGGTGCATCTGGCTGGGGAGATTAAATTATTTTTGAATTCCTAACTGAATGTTCTTTTAATGGAAACTTAATGACAGCATTGAAATAGATTTCCTCCGCACCCGCCTCCCGCCGCCCTCACGGCCGCTCTGTGTCGCGCAGTTCCCGATAACCTTTATTCCCTACCCCTGGACTTTTATCTCCCCAGTGACACGCAGCCCTTGCAGGACAGAAAGAGGAAATTCCACTCATTGTTCTCCAACTTGTGGCTTCCAAAATAAAATGCTCTATCTGCCCTGTCAAGCTTTGATTGACACAGGCTTCCTGCCATGCAGCGGGGTGGGGCGGGCGGGCTTATTTGCGTTCTGTCCCTCCCAGGGTGTCCTAACCTCACTCTGGCCGGAAGATCCCCGAGCCATTCACAGGAGCCTTGTGCTGAGGGCCCATCTTCCGTTTTATGGAGAGTCTCCAAGGAAGACGCCCCTCAGCCGTCCACCTGGGAGGCGCCTCTCTGCGCCCTGGCTGCGCCCCTGTCGGCAGGACACGGACCTTCTGACCGTCTCGCTTCTCGCATTTGGCGACTGAGAGAGCCTCTTTCCTCCCGCCCTTTCTCACTTAAGGAATAAGTGATTTTTAGACATTTAGCCCTTTCCATTAAAGACAGCCTCCCAATTCTTAGCCGCAGACATGGGAACTGGAGACCGCCTGAGTCCAGGAAGGCCGCACCAGGCGCAGGCGCTCAAGTCAGACTCCCTGCGGCAACAGAGGAGAGTTGGGAAACGCGAGGGCAACCGACACCAAGGAAAATTCAAACGTGGGAAAGCGTCAGGGGATGCGGTTATTCTCAAGGAGAATAAGAAATGTTGAATTGCCTTTAAAATGGATAAATCAATAAATATGAAAACTTTCGTGCCTGTAGCAACAGCAGTGCTGATGTGATCAGATCCTACTGGGAAAACGTGTTACCATGTTGGAATAGAAAGACCACCTTTAGCATTGACCTTAACCTGTAGGCAATGCGGCCTTTGGGGTTTCTGTTTCCCACTTACTGTCTTGACTCCCTGAGCTCCTGTGCCCTTGTTAACCCCTCTCTCCAAATGCCAAGGGTTTTATGTCACCTTTGGGTTTCAGCCACCCCTTAGAACTATCCAAAGTTTCTTGTCCAGGGCCTCATTTCCAAAGGGTTCTAGTGGACGTAACTACATTGATGGTTGCAGAGTGCCTTGATCCTAATAAAGGAATATTTGGAAGCAGGCTCCACCGGATTACCCAGAAACAAACACCGATCAGAAAGACCCCAGTTGTTCAGCTCTCTAAACAATCAAAGAGAATGGACTGCTTATGACAATGTCACTTCCAGGGACCCCCAGCAGGCCACCAACAAGCAGGGGACGCACCAGAAGCAGTGTGTTCTGATGTGAATGGCCCCGTGTCAATACATTTTCCCTCCAGCTTATGAAGGGGCCACAGAGTCATAAAACCTCATGACAGCAGGGAGTTCCAGCTACCTCAAGATTGTGATACCTGATTTCTTTTAGCTTTGTCAGCAAGCTAAACTGTGGTGCCAAAGCACGCACAGGCACAGAGCAAGTTCCGTGTGGGCCAGTTGTGCTCCCTGCTATGGCCACTGGCAAGGCGTGAGAACCTTAACCCATCAGACGTCCCACTGGTCTTGGTCAGAAGGACCAGAGTATGCACATGGGTCTGTGCAAACTCAACCCTAGGCCTGGAAAGACAAAGCCATCCCTACCGACAACTGCTGGCAGCTGCCCCTCTATGTGCCAAGACTCACACTGGAGGGATTGGATGGAGCAGTACAGGAGGGGTGTGTCTGCAGCCAAGGTAACTTCCTCCTGGGGAGTCAAGACAACAAATGTGTCCTATGTGCCACCTCCCCACCTGTCCCACCCCTTCCAGGAGAAAGTTCACCCTCAGCAAGAGGATTTTCACTAGCTGGTCTGTCTCAATTAGTGCACAATGACTGACACTTCTGAGTAATGTATGCACAGCTTCAGAAATTTAATATATTAATTAACACACTGAAAACATTTTGATTTCCAAGCAGCTTTAAGTACCATTTTTTCCAAGACACGTTCAAAATAATGCAGGTGGGGAACTGAACAAGACATTCACAGTAAAACCTTCCCCTAAATCCTTCCCTTTTAGGAAGATGAGGTGTTGGCTGTCAGTGAAAGAAAGACTTAGCAATGTTCTACCTGTGGGGCCACATCCCATTTCTTTCTCTTTCCCCTTTTTGCTTTAGAAATAGCGTTTCAGTACAAACCCTAGGCACGGAAACACAAGAATTTTTTTCTTCTCGGAAGCATTAGCAGTATGTTTATTTTTAGACTGATTCTGCACCTTCAACTTCCTCATTGCCCTCTTGGAAAAGCAGGAAATACCCTTTTAACAGATTTGTAGCCCTTTAACCCATTCAATACAGGTGCAAAGAAATATCACCACCACTTTCAGCTCGAGCACTCTGTCTGGCTGGAAGGTGTTCATCAAGAATCTAGAGTGTGGATTCAGCCTCTACCTGTTCCACATGAGGTTAGAGACTCAAACTGTTCTTTGTGTAACAGCCTTTTCTTATTGTCATTGATAGGTTAGTTCATCTCCCCTAACTCAGGAGACAAATTTTCCATTGATAAAAGTCAGAATTAAAATAACAGTGGAATCTTTCTTATCAGTAGAATCAAAATGTTACTATCATTATTCCTTGATCCTATCTAAGGCTCATAATTTCTCTAAGGAGACTTTTAAAAACATCTTGTTTGGCTTGTCCATGAGACTTTTGATGACTTTGTCTGTTCCTACCAACATTGAGTGATCTCAAATAATCATATTTGAGATTCCAAGTGAGCTTCTTTGGCTTCCATTCTATAAATGCATTGCATGTCCCCATACAGCAGCCCTGTAGAGCTATGTGTCCTGTAGGATCACGGCGATGGGCTCAGGGGTCTTGGCGCTGGCAGACTTTGGAAGTTCTCACTCTACTTTCACACCTCCAGATCGTCAGTTGTTTCATAATGCTTCTAGTCACGAGGTGCCTCAGAGACTTTGCTTTACTTGGGATGAAAAGCCGCTGTTACATTTTGGTGTCATCTGTTTCATTGATTTCTGACAAGATGAAGCTGGGGTTGTCGTAGCCTCGCTTCATCCGGGCTCTGGCATCTTTCTCATTATAAAGGCACATGGCACAGTGTGGGGTCTCCACCTCCACTGTCTTGCTGAAGTTGTGGAAATCCACTCGGTATTTCCCTTCCTTGGTCTTGGATACTATGGGAGCAAAGCGGTAGCCCCAAAGCACCTCCTCTGGGACATAGGATGTCCGGACTTGGCAGGTAGCACTGGTTGATTCCACTGTGCCGTCTAAAAACACCACTAACTCAAAGTCCTGCTGGAGAAGGTTTTCTGCTGCCATGTGGAAGAAGGGGCTGTGGTGATCAATGACATGGTAAATTGTCAGTGGAGAGATGAAGAATAAATTTTCATTCCCAGCGTCAACCACAAAGTTGATATTGATCTGATCCAAAATAATGGTCTCTCCTTCAGGAGTGACTGTGGTCTTCAGAAGCTTCCCATATATGTGACTGCCAATAAGAAGGCTCTTCCTTAGATTAGCCACTCGGATCAGGAGACAAAGCTTCCCACCTCGCTTGCTGATCACCGCATTCTTGCTGAACGTAATGGTCTTGGCACGTTTTTTGGGCCTGGAGATCTTGGCTAAGATGGCGCCACACATGAAAGAGTTGATGATAACGCCAAGGATAGACTGGAAGATAAGTAGAAAAATGGCAGTGGCACACTGCTCTGTCACACACCTGAATCCATATCCGATGGTCACCTGAGTTTCCAGAGAAAACAGAAAAGCTGCGGTCAAGCCATTAATATTCTCCACACAGGGAGTGTGATTGGCAGAAGGATGGAACTCGGGGAGGTCTTTGTGAATGTAGGCTACCACGTACCACAGGAGACCGAAGAAAAACCAACTCCCCAGGAAAGCTGTGATGAAGATGGTCATTTTGTACCTCCATTTGAGGTCAAGCACAGCCGTCCAGATGTCCACAAAGAATATAAATCTTGACTGTGCCTCCACATTGCCGAACTCTATGTTGCACCTTCCATCTTTGGAGACTAGCCTCGCTCTTTGCCGAGAACGCCCCCAAAATCGAGTGACAAACCATTTCCGAAGATGTTTGAACATCCTTTCCGTCAAAACCCTGATCTGAAAACACATCAAAGAAAATCGAAAAAAGATTATGTTTATAGCAGTAATGAGTTAGGAGACTCACATGAAGACCTAACTACATGTAAAAAGATCATTCCAAACTATCTGGCTTACTGAGCATTGGGGCAGGCCGACAAGTTTATTCTGGACACCACAGTACTATTTCCAGTAGAAACTTTCCATGGAGGACCATATTACTCAAATGTAAAAAGGGAAAATCATTACAGAGAGACAGAAATGGAAGAAAACTAAGAGATCATATATTCATGGGTCTCCTGACCTCAATCAATCACATACAACCTTAAAAATGTCCATGATAACCAATTATGGTCTGTACTTTTATTTGATATTATTCTTTAAATTGCTTTCCCTTTTTTCTGTAATAAATTGAGCCTTATGCTAAGTAATAATTTCTGCGAAGTCACGAGCTTGAAGCACTGTGTTTTTTGAGATATATAAAAATAATAATATAATTTAAATACATTTAAATTTAAATAATATAAAACCAGTCATCGATATACTACCTAAATCATCTTGTCTGCTGCTGTTGGTACTCATATAGCTAGAGAAATCCTAATATGATTCAGTGCTCTCATTTACCAAATGAGGGAACTGAGACTCAGAAAATTTAAATGACTTGTCCAAAGTCCTGTACCTAACCAGTGGCAGGATGACAACTAGAACATGAGGCTCCTGCCTCCAGTCTAGGGGAACTTCTACCACACTGTGTGTCAGTTACCAAATTTTATATTCTAAAGTTAAATTTCCCTAAAATATTTTAAAACAAGCATGAGTCAAATTTATTTATGTTTTTAATGCTCAAAACTATTTGGACAGAGCTCACATCCTGCCGGATGATCTCAGAAGCTTTCTCAGCGGATCTACAAGCCTGTTCCTACTCTCTCTCTGCGGTTGGCCAAGATTCCCAAAAGGAATAGCATGAGGGTCTCCATCAACATCTCACACTTCCTTCCCTGCTCAAAGCTGAAGGCCTGGGGAGCACTGCCTTAAGCAATTCTCCATAAAGCAGAACCGTATTTCATTCACTCCTATATCCCAGCTGCTAGTGCAGTGTATGGGCGCTTACCATTTATTCAGTCAACATCAATGGAATAATTGAGTGAATGATTTAAGCTCTTCGAAATCCTGTCTGCTCAATGGTTCCTTATAGATGACACTATTGTGACTTCCATCTTACAGCAAAATAGAAAAGGGACTTTCCCCTAAACAGACAACAATGGTGACACCCAGGGGTCACAAACACCAGACCACCTCCTCCCCTATGCCCAAGAAAGTCAAGGTGTGCCCTCCACGGTTAGCAATGTCTTCGTGGTATTTTTCATTAAATGCAAATATGTTTTTAAAATAGATTTCAAAATCCCCCTGCAACAATATGTTTATTCATAAAAACTAGGAAGCGAAACCAACTTAGCGATAAACTTTAAACAAAAGTGATCTTCTACAGCATCTTGTTCATGGCCTTCCCCTTCGTGAAAACAAGCGAAGCAACATCAAGTGGAAGTGGTAAAGAGAGAACCACAGCTGTGGTGATTTGAAATGTTGAGGACAGGTTCTACAGATACAAAAAAAGAAAGTACTACCAAGAGAACAAACACACTCAGGAGGCCTTGCCCTCAACCCACCCAACCCTTGTTGACCTCAAGTCCCCAAAGAGGATGAGGGGATGGTCCCACACGAGGCACACTGAGGGGGAAGTGATTTTCCCCCCTCCACTCTGCTCCCCTTTTATGGCACACACCCTTCACCCTGGCCTACACCCATGGGACTGACCTCTCTCAGGTGCTGTTTACAGAGCTCTTCAGAGAGTGAGTATCACCTCAAATAATAAATTCTAAAACCAACATCCATCCATTGAATCCACATTCTATATGACACACACTGCAATTCCAGAGCTAGCTCCTAACACACGACGTCTGAGTTATTTTTCCCCACCACCCTTCTCCTCTAGCCTCCCTTGAATTCCTGCCCCTTTTGAAGGTAAAGAATACTTCTGCAGGGTGGAAAGTACCCCTGATTCAGCTCTTGGATACGTTTGGTTTCCATGACTGCATTAATGATAAAACACTATCTGCCTGGCCTAACACAGAGGGGAAGCAAAAGCAACCGGCCTGCGACACTTTTCCCAGTCTGCACTCACCAGCATCCTAGCCACGCTCTGACTGGAAGCACCCATGGCTGGAGAAAGCAAGGAAGTGGTATTGCGAGTTGGCCACTGTGTGCAGGCTGATTTCTTTTAGACTCAGCCTCATTTATTTCAGGCATCAGTCAGTGGACTGATGCTAATTTGATTTAGCTCGAAAACACTTAATGGTCGAGTCGTGTGGTTTAAACCAAGGCAATTGGTTGTTCTCAGACCAAGCCCCAAGCCGGGTATTTTTTTTTCCATCCTCACATGGCTTGAATACCGTCATGCTAAGACATGACGAACCGCCAGCTAAGGTCCCTGGGCAGCAGGCGTGGACCGGGTGCTGGCATTGCCCTGCCCTCCTTCGCCATGCTCCATTGCTCTCTTGCTGCTTCTCCTAAAAGCCGTGCCCCGTAACTTCTGGCTAGAAACAATGAGTTATCATCCACCTCCCGGCCTACTCTCTGAGACGCACTGAGACGCCGAGTTTTCCAAGTGTTCACAAAGGCTCCGGTGAATACACAGACGTGGACAAGTACATATTTGCAAGATGAAAGTAACACCACACCAGGAAGAAACAAGATACCATGTTAATCTCTCTATACAACAGTCACTGTTATATAAGAAACTGAGATTTAAAAGAAGCCTTTATTGTTGGATTTATTCTGGAAGAGCTAGCATTTACTGAAAGGTGCTTTTTACATGTACTGGGTTAGCCAATGCTGTTGATTTATTTGTTCAGAGTGAGAAGAATTATTCTTAGAGAATTCAAGGACACAAGACAAATTCATCCACTAACCAAACCCATCACTCACACCGCAGACCTATTATTGCACGAGTCCTGCTTTGCTTAGACAATGGCATTTACACTAACCACAAACAAAGGCAATATGTATTTTATGAACTATTAGGTGATTAGAGACTGTCCCCGTGTCTGGGTTATATAACATGCTGGATTTTAGGTTCCTTTCGACTGAAATCGGTAAATCTCAATAGCAAGCAAAGGGCTACACATCAGCTAATGTTTACCAAGTATTCTTAGTGCCTGGCAAAGCCAGTGCATGGCATTACCGTCCCCTTTTCTTTAGTGCTCCAAGTGGCATTCTTGTTCTGTAAAGAACCCATTCTCGGATAACAGACTTTTTGTACACTTCCCAGGCATTGATTTCCTGCTTATGCTGTGGATTTCAAAGGCAAACAGAACCCCTCCTGTTCTCAAGGGGCTCCCAGTCTAACGGGGCAGTGAGCTGAGGCATCCGCAATCACAACGCAAGCTGTGGTCTGCATGACACCCAAAGGAACAACTTTTTAAAAAGATCCCATTAGTGGGGATCCACCGTCTGCAAACACACTTCATCTGGCAGAAAACTCACTACATTTATGTATAAATTGACTTATTAATCTATCATTATTCAGTAATGACGTGTTGATAGCATTACGTGTGCCGGCCATTGTGCCGAACATCAGAGAAGCAATCGCTGGCCAAACAGACCAGCCCTTGCCATCGTGCAGCTCCAGCGGGGGGTGGAGTACAAACGAGGCAATAACGGTCAAGTGCAGAGCGATGCATGCCATGGGAGCACTCAGGGGAGCACCTATTTTGAGGGCCCAAGGCCTGAAAATGAGTTAGAGTCACACGTAGTAGGAACTCCATAAATATCTGTTGAAGAATGATACATTAATCAATGTGTATACGAAGGCAATGAGTTTGCTGCCACTTAGCTTGCTTAGTCGCCGGTGGCTCTCACTCTAATAGAGTCCTTTGGAAGAGGCGCTCCTGTGTGCAGTCGCGAACACACTGCAGCGTGACCGTGTGCGTGATTCAGGAGGGGCAAGAGAAGACAGCGAGCATGGGGGAGCCAAAAGAGGTTCCAGCTAAGCAGTAGCTGAGTGCAGAGAGCCGCAGCGAGACTCCGGGCTGGGAGGGCAGCAAGGGTCAAATCGCTCAGCGCCTGGTGCCCCTGGAGGTATTTTTGTTGTAGGCCCGAAGGAGAAACTGCTATAAACACCGTCACCTGGCTGTGCTTCAGAGACAACTCGTTATAATTCTAGACAAGTCCGAAGTCTCTTCCGCTTAACAGCCCTTCAACTTCCTGAAAACGAACACATTTTCCTCCTGGATCTCCTCTTCTCCATAAAAATGTATGCTCGTTTGCATGCAACGCCCACCTCACCCAACAGTTTGTGCTCATGCCGATATGTGAGGAACCCAAGTACGGGGACTGTTCTTTTGCAGGTACTTCGCAGGTTTCTCAAACCTGAGAACGGTCATCATGAATCGGGATTTCTTACAGCGCTGGGCACACGCCTCCTTCCCACCCGGCGAGCTCAGTGGCCAAACAGCCGCTGTGTGAGAGGGAGGGCGACAGGCAGTGCCGTCACTGCCTCTTACTCATAGCTTCTGCGCAGAGACCAACAGCAGTCTGCCTTTTAGCTGAACCTCTCACGGCTTACACACAACCTGTGTTAACTTCAGGACATTTCTGAGAGTCGAGATTTCATGTGAGAGGCAGAAACTCTGAGCAGAAATCAGATGATTTATTTTTCCCACTGTGGTAGGGAAGGAATTCACGTTTCTATGAAAATGTGCTGCTTTGTTTCAGACTAGCTGTCAATAGAATCAACGAGCATTTCTTGAGGACCTTCCATAGCGATGCTTCGAATGGAACTATGGGGCATAGCCTCTGCCTTCTTAATCAATATATTTGGACAAGCACTCTATTTATTGAACACCTATTATGTACCAGGTGCTGTGTTAGGAAACAAACAAGGTAACAGTCCCTGCTCTCAAGTTGTTCACAGGTAAATAATTCAAGAATTGTCAAGCAGCAGGTCTGTGCCCTGAAAGGAC